TGAGAATCAAGCTGCTGGACTTCGGTGCCTGCATTACGCCTCAAGACAGTCCAGACCTATTGGGACTGACCGCTGCCCACTGCTCCCCTGAACTGTGCACTGTACTGGTCAAGGTGTATCTGTGGTGAGTACTCCTCTGACTCCATCACTGAAAATGATTTAGATGTAGCCCAATGGCCCTTTATCTCTAGTGGACAAAATTAAATGATAAAATCTCAACCTAATTTTCCTGTTGTTCTGACCACTGTGTCTACTTTGATGGACTGGTCAAGATGTCCCTATGGTAACCGTCAAGTGTTCCTATGGTAACTGTCAAGTGTTCCTATGGTAACTGTCAAGTGTTCCTATGGTAACTGTCTGGGTGTCCCTATGGGCTATTTACTACATGGTTCTACCTTTCACAGACAATGATTTAAAATTATTAAAAAATTATTCAAACAAAAATTCAGCAAAAAAAAAATGTATCTAATGGTAAATTGTAAATTGACAAATTTTGTTAATTGATTTTCAGTGTCAATATTATTCAAACATTCTGCAGAAAAATTGTATCTAATTGTAAATTGTAAATCAACAAATCTTGATTGATTTTCAGTGTCTTGCTTACATATTAAATTTAACGAAGAAAAAAGCGCAAAAGAAAAAAAATTATATCTGTCATGTTCTTCACATGAACAACTTGTTATTCCAGCAAGCAAGCGTGTGAAGACTTGCTGTGTCAGATAGACTGGGTGAAAGCGGATACATACGCTGTGGGCTGTACTGTCCTCCACATGTACAAGAAGAAACATATCTTCTATGAAAAGATGAAAAGTTTTCCAGAAGAGGAAAAGACAAAAGAGCTGCTGAAATATGTAAGTGTGGGCTGTGTTTTAATTTTGACAATTTTTTTTTTATGTAAAATCACAAGTTTGTCTTCATGCAAAAAGTTACCATGGTTCTAGTATCTGAGGAAGTTGGAAAGTGTTAACCAATAATAACTTAACTTACTTCACTGATTGTAAAAAAAATTCACTTCCAATTTTTCTCCTCAGAAAATGAAATTATGTAGAAATAAAAAAAATGGAGAGAAAATGAATCCTTCAGCAAGCATTTAACTTTTTTCCCCAAAAAGGTTTCAGAATATCCCAGAGCGTGTCTTCAAGAGATCCCAGATGTTTGTGTGGGAGAGATGAGGGGTCTATTGGAGGACTTGATGACAGTGGTCACCAGCAGGGTCACACCTAAAGACGCTCTCCGACACCGAGCACTGGCTATGTGTACGTGTTTAAGTTTCTTTGAATTTATATCAGGTTTTTATTTTTTTTTTTTTTTATGATTCAAGTGCATGATATATTGTGGAGCTTTTTGTAAGGCGATTTGACTTGTAAGCAAGTTTATTAAGAAAATTGGCAGATATAAGGCATTTTTGGTTTTTATGTTTCAGTAAAAAAAAAATTAGTACCTCAAAGCAGTGATCACCTTTTTCTTTTAAATCACACATTTTTATGGAGTTTTTATTTGCCAACAAGTGTTATTTCTTTTGTTATTTTTTTTAGTTGTTAAAAGTGGCAGTAGTCAAGTTAGACCAGCATCCAGCTCATCATTCACCAGAGCGCCATCTACCAATGTGTTGCTGCACAAGGGACCACAGCCCCAAGCTACAAGGATGGAAAGTTGCACTAAGATGGAGGAAGGAGAGATCCCAGATTTTGGAGCTTTGCTGAATTTCGACTGCAGTGATGATGAAATGGATGAAGACACTGGGCAATGTGACAGTGACAGCGGCAGTTCCAATGACAGCAGAGATATGTATGAAGAAGACGTGGAGAGTGACAGTGATCATGAGTAGATGGACTTGAGGACATGTTTGTCTGTGGCTGTGTCACAATTGGCTGTGTGAATATTGGAAACAGTACATCATCAGTTAAACATCTGTGACTTTATATGTACATTTTGTAATGACTGTAAATATTTGAGTTGATTGTGTACTTATTATGTAAGATAAAAGTGCAATATATTTGTGAAATTTTTTAAATAATGCATGAATTTTAACATTCCCATGTGTAAATATATTACTAAAATCAGTGCCATATTACAAATATTATTTAATATATATATGCTTATCAAAAATAAATAACGGATGCAGAGTTTTGTGTTTTGTTGAAGTTGATTTTTCTTCAAATTGACAGAATTATTTGGTTTGAATTAGGGCCATAGATATTTTACTGCCTCCCAGGTTGTGCCACCTCTTGGTTCAGGCATCTAACGAAGGTAATTAACCCGTACATTGGTAACTAAAACACGACTATTTTGCTATTTCATGGCTGATACAACTTTGGAAATGCCCACTTACTCTGGAAACGCATTGAAACCAGTAGTGTACTGTGCCACAGTTGGAAATTTATCAATTTTCGCTGCCAACCTCCAACCCATCAGTTTAAAAAATAGAAAAATGAGAGGCTATTAATATTATTATTTACTATTACTTGCGAAAAATCTTCAAATCAGTAAATTTCATTTAAAAGAAATTAAATAAAGAAATAATTACAATAAATATATAAAGCTTTTCCTTCCCAATAAATGTCTTAACATCCCATTGCGTAGCCCATAGTGAACTACGACAGCCCATTAATGACATCTGCTGAAATATGAAAAGGGAAAAAGTTTAGACAAACCTTTTATAATAGCTTCTGTCACTTGTAACCCATTCCTTAACAAGGTGTACTGTTAGGCATTGAAGTTAAGTGAGTTGTATTATATCATGTAATTGTCCTGATGTTATTGAAAAAAATGTACCATTATTCTTTCCAATAGACCAAATAATTTATTCTAATTATACTTACTACTTTTCCGAAAAATCAGTATATTAATACACAAAGAAAGCTGAAAAATGTGTCTTCTGGATCATAATTCTCACGTTAAACAGCGGCAATAAATTTACCTGGCCCATAGGACTAATATAAGGTATCCAGGGCTCTCTATTATGTCTTGGAATTCTTGGTTGCAGTTACATAAATGTTTATTATATCAAATGTGTTATAGTTTGCAAGTGTTTACTCTATGAGCAATTCCACTATTATTATTATTATTATTATTATTATTATTATTATTATTATTTTGCTGACGAAAAGCATACTTAAAAACATAAAGAAACAATTTCTTGGTTTATACCAAAGATGCACAGTACAACTCCTTGCTCTCATACACACTTATTGCTGATATACAGTGCATGCACTTTAGAGAAACGAGTAAATAATTTTTTTCTTTGCAGTCTGACAAAATAAATGCTTGTAGCTAAAATTCACGCATAATCATTTCAAAGACTTTTTAAGTAATGACGAAAGATCAAATTTTTCCTTACCTAGTGCCTAGCCCAAAAATAATTTTAAAAAGTTAAGAGATGTTTAGGTCAGACCATAATAACAGAGAAATCTAAAATCTTAAAAAGGATCAAAACATTCAGAGGAACTTTCTGAGACACTAAACAGTAACAAAATAGCGAATGTAATTATACTAATGTTTATTTGCAACTTAAACAGTTGGATTGTACATTTGTTTCATTCACTAAATATAATAAGACAAATAAAACTGTTAACTCAAAGTGTTAAAATAAAATGAAAACGTGGTACTGCCAGGATATTTATAACTACATCAAGAGTAATTAAAAACATTTTTAAAGGATTCTGCGCCCATTCTATAAATGTCTTTGATGATATAATTATAGTTCTCAATTATGGTACGGTATCTTCTTGAGATCGATGCAGAGCATACTGGTTTTACATTTCTTATTTGTTCAAGTAGTAGATGGTGTGTTTTATCTTTGCCCATATTGTGGAGTTATGTTTTCAATAGTTCTAAAGAGGCACCAAATACCTGGAGTTTCTTGTCTGGACAGCAACCAACAACCCCTGATAGCCAATTACAGCATAAAGCAGTATCACACAGCAGTGTACATGTATACCCAAGAGGTACTCAATTATTTTAATAAGTTTAAATAAAGTTATAAAAAACCTAAATACAGATCGACACAAAACAATTTTTACTTCCAATGATTCTTATCCATAATTATTTTTCGAATAGTAACCGATTTGTACTTCCAAAAGTACTTTCTGTTTTATGACTGCATTTAGCAATTAGCCTACGAGAGAAATTTAAAAGGAGCACATTTTCATTTCAACAATCAATATGGATAGATAACTTTTATAACTTATCATCAGAATCAATGTTTTAAGCAACTTGGCAAAAGCTTGAATTCTAATGTTAGACAGCACTTAAATATTAGTAAGGTAACTTCATCATCTGATAAGCCATGTGTGCGGTACATGTGTCCATCCTATGCCATTCAATTTTACCAGCTAATTTTCGGTCTGTGTCATTCTAAATAATGTTTGCTGAATGAAGCTGGATTTTATATATCATATTGGTGGATACTTTTTTCAATTCGTGTAACCTAGGTGCAATCACTACATCCACATCATGGTTGGCGAGAACACTTGGTGATACTAAAAAACGACAGCAGAGACGAAGATTAATGTGTCTAAAGGTCAATGGGACCAGTAAACTTGACAATTGAATTATCTGAAANGCTGGATTTTATATATCATATTGGTGGATACTTTTTTCAATTCGTGTAACCTAGGTGCAATCACTACATCCACATCATGGTTGGCGAGAACACTTGGTGATACTAAAAAACGACAGCAGAGACGAAGATTAATGTGTCTAAAGGTCAATGGGACCAGTAAACTTGACAATTGAATTATCTGAAATATCTATAGAAGGAGAGCACTTTTATCATTACCAAGAGACTATAGATATGATACTAACAATGTTTTTAAGAATAATGGTTATCTGACAATAAAGGTAACTGTGGTGTGAAATTGAGGGATCCCATTAACTGTCCCCCAACAAAAACAGTTACAAATTAGCACCAACCACATTTACGAGATCAACTGCAAATAGCCAGGAATAACAAAACCAACTTACATGCAGTCCAATGCAGCAATGTCCCCAACTATGTCTTAGAAATCATTCATATGCACCTGTGTCACGTATCTTGTATAACGGATAGGAGGGTACGTGTCCGATCCGTCAAGAGGTTTCACAATCGTACAACTATCAGGATCAGTAAAATAGACCAAACTTCTACGCGTGTTCCTCTTATCGGAAGGGGTAACTCGGTGAAGCTAGGAAAAAGGAAAAATCAAATTTGACTATGTCATATTCAGAGCAGTTTTATTTTAACACCAGGACGCTGATGTACTTGTATTACGTAGTATGCTAAATCACCGCTCCCCCCAACACACACACACACACACACACACACTCAATAAACCAATTTCTCTGTCACGTCAGAAAACAAATGATCAGCAAACTGATAAAAAAAAACATTAAACATTTAAACTAATACAGCAACAGTTCAAAAAGCGGACAAAAAAGTTGGACAAAATGAAGAAGTAAGTTATCACCGCACCAGTGTGTCACATAGAATAGAGGCAGAGTCGTAAATAATGCAAATAACTAAAACTTGGAGGGCATTCAGAACAGATAATCCACGGACTATCTGAACCGCCGACCAAATATGGCTGACCCCACTTTAAAGCAACACCGCCTATTCCCCGAAATAATCCTTGTCTTTACACGCGCCGTCACTGCTGGGGCCTATAGCAATAAAAACCTAGAAACCGAGGTTTAATCCGTTAAATGGCGTGGGTGGAGGCGGGGAGACCACCAGGGAATTAGTGACATTGCTTTTAAGTGGGTTCACCATATTAAGTCCGCGGATATGTAAGTCCACTGATCCATGGCCATTTGCTCTGAATGCACTCCTGGACCCCATTCCCACAGATATTTAGATCAATCTATCCCCCTGGGGAGTCTCACTAGATTGGTGTCAGCTTAACCGGCTAAAATGTCTGTCCCACCTACCAAAAGCTGTAAGGGGGTATAATTAAGTGTTGTGCGCGCTCGGCTGACAGCAATTTAGCGTGAACCCCCAGGGTGTTAGATCGATCCAGATGGATCTATCTAAATCTTAGAGAATGCAGTCTTGGACTCACCGTGGCCTTCAGTCTGTCCGAGGTCCATCTGGGCATCATGTCATCCAAGATGACCACTATGGTACCAGGTATAGGTGTGGCTGGTTTGTACTCTCCATCCACTGTCTGCACCTGAAGGGAAAGTTGGTTCAAATCTGACATGCAAATGGGAGGTGAAAATAATATAATAGTATGTTTTATTCTTAAAACCGCACGGCAAAGTTCATAACAATGATAAAAACTAATGCATCAATATATAAAGTAGTAAAAGCTAAAACAGGTATATTTAGCAAAAGCTAATAATAATAATAATAATAATAATAATAATAATAATAATAACATGTTAAATTGTTAAGTTAATAATATGTTATGTTAAGTTAAAGCATGCTAAATGTACATTTCATTATTTTTCTTCCCTTCACAGAATGACACTAGATCTACCGTTGCAACTTATACTACCAAATCCAGCAGATCGTCACAACTAACACAATGTGTGAGAGCCATCCCAGGCTCATACTCCACACTGGCACACCAAGCACAATGGTTCACCCAGCAGACTGTCACAACTAACGCAATGTGTGAGAGCCATCCCAGGCTCATTCTCCACACTGGTACACCAAGCACAATGGCACACCCAGCAGACTGTCACAACTAACACAATGTGTGAGAGCCATCCCAGGCTCATACTCCACACTGGCACACCAAGCACAATGGCACACCCAGCAGACTGTCACACCTAACACAATTACCTCAAGGCCCCCAGTGCTATCTTGGAACATCAGACTCATGGAGCCGTAATCCGTGTGTTCAGCACAACGTGTCAGGTCTGGCATCTTGTCTGAAAATTGAAACAAAATAACAAATACACTCTTGCCCAAAATGGTTGGTACACGGAAATTTTGAGATGCATATCGCCCTGTTTCTTTCATTATTATTAATATTATCAAATTAATACTGTTTATATTGTTAAATATGTGAAGCTGGAGGATTGTTAAAGTCAAGGAGAAACAAACAATGCAAATGTGAAAAAAACGTGAATTTATTTAGTATTTTTTTCTCATGCCCCCCCCCCCCCAAAAGAGTACATTTTTACATAACAGTACCAAGAGAAAAATTAAACATAAATTTATACTGTGATTGGCAATTAATATGAAATTAGGAAAAATTGTCAAGAAACATCTTCAGAGTTCATTATTAATCTAAATAGCGGGTATGCCCACACCTAGCTTGGATAATGGCCGCCAGACGGCGTGGCATACTGTGAACTAGAGGTACAGCTTTTTGGAAAGGAATTCTGGTCTATTCAACTTAAAGGGCATCTCGCCGTTCATCTAGATTTGCAGGGGGAGGGTTTCTCCTCTGAATAGCACAACCAAGTTCGTCCCACATGTGCTCAATTGGGTTTGCATCTGGGCTTCTTGCTGGCTGTGGCATCAGCTGAATGTTGTTTTGTCGGATGTAGACTGCAATTAAGCGGGCTGTATGGGGAGTTGGGTTGTCATGTTACAATCTAAAATTGTCTCTGTATATTCCTCTTTCAAACGGCTCCAGGTTCTGCTGGAAAATGTCTCTGTATCTGGCAGCGTTAAGGTTTTCATCCAAAGGAGACAATGGGCAAATACCGCTGCTGCAAATGGCACCCCAAACATGTACAGAACCACCTCCTCCAGCTATTGTTTCCTGAATATTTTCAGTTAATAGCCTCTCCCCAGGGAGCCTACGCACTTTCATAGCTAGAGGAGGTGGTTCTGTACATGTTTGGGGTGCCCTTTGCAGCAACGGTATTTGCCCATTGCTTACTCTGGACGAAAACCTTAACGCTGCCAGATACAGAGACATTCTCAAGCAGAACCTGGAGCCGTTCGGAAGAGGGATATACAGAGACAATTTTAGATTGCAACATGAAAACCCAACACCCCGCAAAGCCCGCTTAATTGCAGTCTATATCCGACAAAACAACATTCAGCTGATGCCACAGCCAGCAAAAAGCCCAGATGCAAACCCAATTGAGCACATGTGGGACGAACTTGGTTGTGCTATTCAGAGGAGAAACCCTCCCCCTGCAAAACTAGATGAACGGCGAGATGCCCTTTAAGATGAATGGACCAGAATTCCTTTCCAAAAAGCTGTTACTCTAGTTCACAGTATGCCACGCCGTCTGGCGGCCATTATCCAAGCTCGGGGTGGGCATATCCGCTATTTAGATTAATAATGAACTCTGAAGATGTTTCTTGACAATTTCTCCTAATTTCATATTAATTGTCAATCACAGTATAAATTTTTGTTTATTTTTTCCCTTGGTACTGTTATGTTAAAAATGTACTCTTTTGGGGGGCATGAGAAAAAAAAAACCTAAATAAATTAATCCTTTTTTCACATTTGCATTGTTTGTTTCTCCTTGACTTTACCAATCCTCCAGCTTCACATATTTAACAATATAAACAGTATTAATTTGATAACATTAATAATAATGAAAGAAACAGGGCGATATGCATACCAAAATTTCCGTGTACCAACCATTTTGGGCAAGAGTGTAAAAGATGAAATGTAATTCTTGAAGAAATTGTTGAGGCGGGTTTGCCCGGTGGAAATTGCACGGGGGGAGTGTCCGGGATGGAATTGTCCCGATACACAAAATAACAAATTTGAGAAAAATGTGTATTCCATCTGGTTGTTGAAATTACCTAGAATATGTCATTTTCATAAAATTGAAAAAGATAAACACGCTATACCAGACAAAACCAACCAATTTCCCTCCCCTTTGTTGTATATATTGTTGTAAGATTTCCCTCATATATGGGCATTTAGTTGTGCCTTAAAACTTTGCAACCCCTATACTACCCTTGGCAAAATCCTGGCGCCTTATTATACAAAGTGCCTTATTATAGTAAGAAAACAGACTTTCAAATTATTTTCCTTATCGCATAGCGTGTATATACCTTTGAGGCAATCATCATTAAGATTATTTAACAAAGAAGTTTATGGTCGTACTATGTCTGGATATATTAACACTTGTTATACATGTATAATAGGGCGCTTACTGCTGGATATGCAGGCATTAGTTACCAGAGCGTGCAGTAAAACCATTTTATACATGTGCTCCCACACAAGCCATTGTTCGGATGCAGTTCTGCTCTAGTGGCACACTGGCACACAATATACTATTTCGTCTTTTCGGAGCCTGTGGTTCGGACTTACTAACCGTGCTAAAGTTGTCCACAGGCAGAAATAAAATCACACAAAAAGTCCCCCACCCTGCAGACAATAAGGCTATAAGCAGGGTCTCAAACTCTGCATTCCAAACAAGTTCTTACACTACCTTCTTTTTCAGTGAAAGGTGGGTAGGTCAAAAGTCTTAACATGGTGGTGCTGTTGTCACGCCAGTTGACAAGATTTGTATGGCACGCAAGCAGCTCATTTTGGTCCTGAAAAAATAACGAAATACATGCACTACATAATAAAACTCAAAATTTCGCTATTTCTCTCTCTCTCTCTCTCTCTCTTTCTCTCTCTCTCTCTCAGACTCACACACATACACGTGCACATACGCGCACGCCTTACATTCATAAAATAACATATACAATAATTTTTAAAAACTGTTGTTAATGTATCTTGAAGAAATGGCAATAACTGCGATTACACTTCATCAAAATGCTGATAATTTGTTAATTCATTTAGTGTGAGACATATATTAATTTAAATTGTGAATACCCTAGGTTGTATACATGACTCCCATATGCCATCCTCCGTAAATAAAAATCTCCGCTTTTGAATAGAATAAAAACGTTTGACCTTAAAATTATCTTTAAAAAATGCCAGGTGTGTGCAACTAAACCAGCAGTCCAAAATATTCTTCCTTGTCATAACTGACATATTTGTTTGTGCAGAATGATAGTGTGATTCGAGTGATTTCACCAACCAAATTAGAAAGGCCCATCTCAAAAAGACACACCTCAACATTCCATATGATCACGTGATTACTGTAGGTAGCTAAGGTAAGTACTTACACCTCGAAGCAAGTGGGTCAAAATTTTCAGACCAGAATTTAGCATATTTTAGTTCAAGATAAGCCTAGAAAGTCGACCAGTTAAGACAATTATCGGAAATACAAACCATCTCCTGCTTGTTATGAAAAGGTATTTCATTTAACTGTGCTGTACTACTGGTTTTCGTGGTTCAAAGCAAAGTGAATTTTTTTCTAAATGGCTTTTTGATAAACACAATTACTTACTAAAGCAGTATAAGAGAGACTAGTACGAAGGGAGGGTTCTCAAACACGCATGGCTTCCTGTACATCATGGATTTTACCGTTCATGATAAACCGTGGTCGGGGACTGGGGTTGCGTGGGATGAAATGTGGCACCCGGATATTCGTTCGGGTAAGCAGATATACACATGTACATCCAACCTGGCCCTGTTCGTGGCAAGGTTGAAAGTTTCCATCTGATCATTGCGTACCAACGAAGCTGACGTGGCTCCGTGGTAACTTTGCCGTCTCGTACGCAGTCGAACATTGGTTCGCTGGTTCGAGACCCAGCAAATATAGTAGGCCTACTTTTTTTTTTTTAGAATTTAATCTTAAAAATTTCGATTGGTTGCTATAAGAGGAAACTCTTACGTTAGGAGGGTGGGCGGGTCTTTCACGGCGCAGTCGGTAGCGTGCTTGGATGCAAATGAGGTACCCAAAGCGCCATCAACCATGGCAACGCAAAGTCACGAGTTCGAATCCCGGATGAGGCACCTCACTTCATCAACACAACGACCGGGCCCCTGAATCGGGATGTCACGAGAACCAATCAGGTCTCTCGTGGGTCCTAGCAAATTACCTTTTGCATAAAAACACGGTATACTTTAGAAAGTTTACAGTAAGTGATCAATTTAAAACGAACATTTTGCTGGTCATCAGAATAAAGTCTGCGTCGTCAATAACATTTCTTTTCTCTTCAGTTAAAAGTACATAGATTGGTGCCACAGATCTTGCACTTAAATTGAGCAAAATCAAAATCTGCTATCTTTTTCGGTGGGATTATCAGAGAGAAAATGTTTATTGTTTAACAAAAGTCGCGTCGCCTCTATTGCTTTTAACAAGCACACATTTTGTCTTTTCATGCCCCTCCTTTCCATTCTTTCACCCTTGCTTCTCAAGACTGTTCATATGTTCATACAGTACCCGGGGCAAGTCTCTTCTTAGGGTCTCGCTAAAACTAAAACACGCCTGTTGTGAGTGAACCGCCTTTGATCCCATTGTACTCTTTAATATCATGGGTAAAGCCAAAATTAATCTTAGTATAAAACAAACTCCCAGTTCCGTGTCGGGTTCTCAAACACACATGGCTTCCTGAACATCATGGATTTTACCGTTGATGGTAAACCGTGGTCGGGGACTGGGGTTGCGCGGGATGAAATGCAGAACCTGGATTATCGATCGGGAAAGCAGATATACACATGTGCGGACGGAACAAATTTAAAAAGCTGACAAGCTGGCAAAGGTTTCGATAGGTTTGGACGACCTACCGATACATGGAACGCAAACGAAAACACAACTGACGCCTTCTTTCTATATATTAAAGCCTGGGCAATGCAACTTTGAACTCAAACTCGATCTGTATTCTGGTGAATTTTTCACAAAAGCCTGTCCTATTTTTTCCAGTTTTGTTGACAGAATGATTATATATCTGTACAGTATATCTGTTACCTCCAGTCCAAGTCCCATCCCAATCAGTTTCAGCATTCGAAGGCTCAGTTTGGCACAAGTTCTGTGGAACTCCACCACATCCTGCTCAAAGTTTGGAATACTTGGCCAAAGCTAAAACGAAACCCAACCAATATTGTTTTTGTTCATGTCGTTTGGACATGTAAATGACAAACTATGTGAATGACATGTGAATGACAAACTGTGCCTAGGTAAGGGGAAATTGCAGAATTTGCCAGGAAGATAACGCGCGCGCGCGTGTGTGTGTGTGTTTGTGTGTGTGTGTGTGGGAACGTGTATGTACATGCTCCACATGTGTATGTGTGCTTATACACGCACTGGTAATACTAAGAATTTCAACTTAACTTGGTTCCTCAGAAACATGTACCAATATTTTATTATTCGATTTTTTTTTTACATCTGGCTGGCACTTTAAATGTTTATTTCTGAATCTGGCCATTTATATTGTGTATTGTTAGAATGCGACTAAATGCAGTGTTTAGTGTCTTACCCTGAAATGCGTTTCATTTCATCCAGCGGGTACAATTTATTACATTTTTGCCTTTGTTGATTTGCTAACTCTACAGCCTAACTCAAACAGTTATGAGTGGATTTCAATAAAATACTCAGGATTAACTTAGAACCAGTTGAATATTGGTTGTGATCCATCAATTAATTATTTAGTAACCATGAGAACTGGGTCGCTTTAGCAGATGAATGCACTCTTTGAGGTGTTACCTGTTTGTAGGTACTTCCTATGATAACATCAAAGGACTCCCTCAAGACAGCAGGTTTGCCAGACACAAAGCTGAAAGAAAAAAACACTAATATATATATGGGTATATATTAAGGGTAGATGCTTAATTTAAACATTTAGTACCATGAAAATATCAAATTACAGATTTAGAAAAAATGTGCCTCGGAAGTGAGAGTAACACGTGTATATCCTACATCACTTACTGTTCTCTTCCACCAGGAATGTAACCAATGCCAACTGCCTCAGATACGGGACGAATTAACTTGTCCTTGGTCTCTTGTGGTTGTGCAAAAAAATCATCAGCCAATCTAAATATATTGTCAATCTGAAAATACACAGAATTAATAACCTTATATATCTAAATTGAACTATTTCTACCATCCCATGTGAAAATTATTTCTAATATTTGACAATAACTCTATTAGGTATATATATATATTGTCTTCTACTGGGTTAAGTATAAGCATCTAACCCAACACAACTTTAATTTGAAAACAAAATTTTCCCTTAATATGAATTTTTTGCCTTTTGCTTCAGGGGGGTTCAACTCCCAAGATGGAAGTACGTTGAATGTCTTGATAATTTAACTTTTCTACGCGCAGTGCACTTAAAGCGATATGCGCACCGAGTAACCACATATTTTGGCTTTCTTCGTCCCAAATGACCGCATGAAACATGGCACCGGTGCTGACCTTTATAAAGCCCTGGTTTCATTGCGCATCGGACTGTCAACTCTTTGATATTTTACTCTGAGGCCAGACAATTTCATCTTGCAGCCGTACTCCTTTTACTTATTTCACGAGGGAATTGCTCGTATATATACATCTATTCCGTTGGTCTCCGGACCTTTCAATGATTTCATGGATGTCTCACAAGGCGAGACACCACATCCTATTTCATTATCAACCTACAGTCGTCTTGGTTCACCTGAACCTTCAACACGAAGGATTCCTGATACCTCTCAAGGCAAGCAGCCCCAGTAGCTAGCCCTCGTTCATTTATCCATGTATCTTCTGCATTGAATCAAGGGCGCGGTCAAACCATGTACGTCTTCATCATTTTTTTAATAAAGTGGATTTTAGCAAGGGTATGAACCGTGACAGAGTCCCCTTATTTGTTCAGGTACACAGAGTCGCCTTAGATTTTGACCCACTTACATCTTGGTCAGGCTAATTCTAACCCCTATAACTATATGGAGGGCAAACTTTCTGTTGCACGGACCCTCCCTTTCGTTACACCGGTGCCGCCTCAACACATTCTTCTACAACTCCTTGGTCCAGCTTGGCCTAGGACTTATTTCAGATGGCCGGCTGTGTGATTAAACCCAAACTCACCATTATCCTTCTGTGTGAGCTGAACCGCCGTGTTTTGACCACCAAAAGTAAGCTAAAACATGCTCAAACATTTTTTTTTTTGGGGGGGGGGGGGTGATGAAAAATTGGATACGGTGTACAATAGGTTGGTTATGTTTTTTGTTTGAATGTCTTGGGAGGAAGAGCATTGATTAACAAAATACATCATATTGGTACATTGTAAATATATAATTAGATAAGGGGGGATAAATATTATACTATATATACTATATATATGTATATATGAATTGCATGTCTGCTGACTGAAAGTCTGCTTAGAAAGCTGAAAAAATCGAAAATTGGGCATAAATCCCATGGAATATGGTGTTGAGGCCTAACATTTGGCAGAAGTTTAAACGGTCCCCCGGCAAGTATTTCAGCCCAATAAGGTCGAATTCTGTAAACCTTCACCTTGCCGCACTTGTCTGGTGCTTAGAAAAAAACTGGCACTTAACTGTAATACAGTAAAACAGTAGTGTTAAAATGCATTAAATTTCGTGATATATGTAATTACTGACCTGGTCTTGGGGAATTCCGTGATTTTTGATGTATACAAAACCTATGGTGCTGAAGGCTTTGAACACATCGTTTGCCACTTTTTCCAGATCTTTTCTGTCGACTTCATTTTCTTCTTTTGTGATATCAAACACCTTAAGATCGATGATTGGTATCCAGCTGAGGTCGCCGTGGCCTTGATCCGTCGTCATTTTTGTGATCAGCAGTCGGACTGACTATATGCGCTTTTAAGTGCTATAGCTGTCACGCCCAAGGACGCCGCAAGAAACAAATATATGGCAGTGGGTCTTTTCGTGCACTGTACATCGCATGGCAAATGTAATGCTCTGTTGCACATAGCGTAAAGACGTACGTACGAGTATATATTATGCGACAAGGTATTAAAATGAAGATGCAAGCAGCGTATGAAATTGTTTTTGAACATGTTCAAAACATTCTAAAATACACCAACCTTTGCTGCGTTTACGACATAAAAAAATGGAAACCTAAAATTCCAAAGTGAGCGTACAGCAACATCCCTGATAATAGGAATATCATTTATCTAAGTTTCAAGTTCCTCACTCTAATGATCTAGAATATTTCAGCAGAAATTACAATGAGAAAAGAATTTAGAATCAACCACCACCAGGAACACCCCAGCTCAGAAGTGTCCCCTCAGAGATGGCGGGAATTGCCAACAAACAGACAGTCAAGGGGCACACGGGCGGGTGGGATAACATTAACCCCGACTTCTGTCACATCAGTGCTTGAAGTGCTGGTCTTTGTTTATTCATTCGTACATACGTTCAGGGACGAGCATCCTTCTATTTGACTCAAGTTTAATCTGCGAATGATGTCTCAATAGTAAAAACCAATACGAATAATTTTTTTAATATATGAATAAAAGGATGTACATGTATGTGGGTTCTCCCGCCCCCCCGGTCAAGAAATGCCTGTGTTTTTCAAATGTATGTTTAAAGTGTTTCTGATCTTTGAGACCATTCCCAGAGAATATCGTACTAACTTTGGATCGAACTATCTCCGAGAGGATTCTCGCTTAATTTCAATTAACTTAGATGTTTGCCTCGCCTGCTGAGGCTGATGGGGATAATTAACTAGCGTTTAGCAGCTTTAGTGGGCGTCCCAGACGTCTAAGCCGCTTGGGATGAAAACAATTTAGCGAGGGACCCCGTGGAAATGGACCGATCCTGTTAGATCGATCTAGGGATGGGAACCCAGTCTTTGTCTTGGAATAAATAAGAGGTTTGTGTTCTTTGACAATATATGTATCAAAAACAATAAGCGACTGACACGTATATAGCAAATTTTTAACATTTGGCATTTTAATACCATACAACAAGCAAATGAAGTGACGGACCCGGCGTGACAGCAAGTTCCTACATATCTTAGAAGGAATGTATCAACCTAAAGTCAGTAAATCAACAATCATGTGAAATTCATTTGTGCAAATGAAGGCTTACTTTCCCCTCGCATATATTATCTTTGAAATAAGGCAATTACTATAAGGAGAAACAAGTACAAGAACAAAGTTAAATATGTTTAAAAGTTTGCCGCCCATGCAAAGAAAAAGAAAACCAGAAAAAGAAAATTATACATGCTGGTGTAGATCATTTACATTTCGGTCCGGACCCCACCCGGTTAGATCAAAGGTTAAGCTCTATAAAACCTAGTATCATATGGCTTACCTGTAATACAATGAATCGTTTTAAGATATAGTAAAAGCCGATTTGCAGTCTGGGGGATACTATATCTGCATGATAGATGCCTAAAACTGATGTAAGGTGTCCGCCCAAGTATTTTTAAGTAATCAGAATTTAGGAATGACTCTGATGGACTATGACGGTTTCTTCATATGCTTTATATGAAATTCATCTCGTAAGACTTTCAATACATTTTGCAATATGTTTTTTTAATATTTAAAACATTTTTCATGACGGTTTTCAATGAGAGGTGCAACACACAATTCAAGAGAGAGCTGGAGTCCTTTCCTTGGCATTTGTACAGCTTATATAACGTACGAGTTTGAGTGTCCCATTGAAAAATTTAATATTATTCGATGGAGCAAAGTCAACTGGAATGGAATTATTTTCTCCTAGGGGACGACACTGTATATATTGTGCTAGTTGTGCTATTGGTAAGAACTGTTGGTAAGTTACGACAGTTGTTCATTCGACCAGTCAGCGCAGGCCAGTCGACACGGAAATAATTATTTTTGTCTTTCGTTTTTGTTTTTGGTTATTGTCGTTTAAATTTGTTAAGTATACATGGCTGTTTTTATATTATAACTACGTTTGTTTTTGCTGCAGTGACAATATTCACTTTTTCAATTTTTGTTACAAAGCCAGTATGTGTGTGTTAGTCTGTAGGCCTACAGTGTACATGCATTTGTGTGTGTTGTTCCCTGTTAGTATGTTTACGATTATGAGCTTATGTATGAATACTTATGTGAATGATAATATTTTTATGTTGTTTAATTTTCAGAAATTGCCAGTGCAAATTTGGGTGTAATTTATGTTAATTAATATATTGAATAAATGGTTTTGATCAATAAGAGCTCTTTGGGATGTGGTATCCTGGTGATTCCTTTTTGTATATAAAAAGGAGCGGTGATACAGATGTTGGCGAGGAGAGGCTCTCCCGCGTTTATGAGGTATTTATTTATTTATTTATATTGTGGTTTGTTGTAAATGATTGAAGATGGTTTGAAATAAAACTCGTGTGCCAACTGAGTCCATATGCACTTTATATGTAGTTTGTGTTGTTTAATTCTTGATGTTTTGCAATGTCGGTTATTGTCTAGGAGAATTGCAAGCTGAAAATGTTGTTGTTTTAAATAATAGTCATAAGAAACTTAAGATAACTTCCCAAACTCGAAACACCTGTCACCCATGGCAATCAACTTTCAGATTTAGTTAGGCCAAAATGACCTTCACCTATTAGGTCAAAATGACCTTCACCTATTATTTAGGCCCCTTCATGTATACCTAACCATCGCCGTGTCTTGCACCTATAGCTCTTTACCGGATAATGAAAAACAATTTATTCTCTAGCACGGAAGCATTTGAAAAGAGTAATAGCTATATAATGTAAACTTTGCTGCAGTATTATGGTTTTAGCAAATAAAATTGAATGCTGATTATTGATTCCTTTTTTATGATAGACTCTATTTGAACATGCATTTCTAGCATAAATATGTAATTCATAGAATGTGCAAATAAAAAAGATGAGGGTTTTCCTAATTTTGATCATGAATATTACTCTTTAGAGAGTGGATATACCCCCTCTATTATTTTGGAAGGGGAGCTAATGAGTATCCTACTCTCTACCTCTTGCTTATTGTCTTTTGAATGGATATTTCCAAATACAAAATTTGATACCCTCGAGTTGTGTGTAAAAAACTGTAAATACTTGTACTTTAATTTAAGATTTCATCTCTGGCACGCACAAGTTCCATTGGCACTCGTCTCAAACATCATAGTTCACAAATGTAGCTTATAGAAATAACACTGTTTGAGAGCACATGTTTTATCTAAATCAGTGTCGGCTAATGGCAGATTTTGAACACACACACACACACACACACACACACTCACTGAGGCTAGACAATCTTTTCTCCCAGCCGTTCACTTATTTATTATTTGCACACATATGCCGCCGGCATCTATTCACTTGGTCTCCGGACCTTTGACCGATTTGACCGCTGCCGGTCTCGGATTTCCTGTTATGGACACGACACAAGTTCAATAGGTTTGTAAGCTCTATAGTTTCCCTTTTATTAAATGGTATAATGGTGATACACGGTTTCCTTCCCCACTTCATACAACTTCATACAGTTTCCGTTTCATGTGCAAAACACCTTGTTCTATATAATTGTTTGTCCTAACAAGGAATTATAATGACAAGACAAAATATACTCTCTGACCATAGGGTTTGCCTGTGTAGTCTCTTATAGAATTGTTGAATCGATACCTGTGGCAGCCAATATAGCCAAACAGAACGCGTTCCCCACCAGACATGCCCTTTTGTCGTTTCCGATATAGAGACCAAAAATATATTTTGAGGTCATATGATGTAATGCGTTGTCGCCCAAGTGTTCTTGAGTTATTTGGCGGCTTCTTTGTACAACAACGATATAAAGCAAATAACTTCACAATTATAAGTAATTAAAGTTTACGTGCATCGTGAAATAGTGCAGCATTGGATCCAACTAAGAGAAGAAATTAGTATATACGCGATCAGAATTGAGACCTTAAGGCTTAAGTCCCCTCCACACCTTTTGGAATCAGCAGGAATCAAGCAGAACCAGCCGAAATGAGTAAATTTAAAAATTCGTACCACATTCGGGAAGAAATTTCAAATTGACCTAAATTCTTGTAAGAATGCCGTTGGAAAACTCAGAATGCGCTTGAATCCGCTGTGAGTGGGGGAGAGAGGGCGATTTCACACCAAGGTGCTGCGTAACACACATCCTTGGCCGCGTTTACGTACTGTATTTTAAAATAGATGTAAAGATAAGGTCAAACCAAGGAGTTCTATGAGTCTACACTCGACTTCTGACATTCATCACGTCAATGGAAAACTCCTAAGCTTGCATTTTGATCATATGCAGTTTGGGCTTAATAAGGTCACCACTCATTGCGATGCAGTATAGGCCTACTTAGGTCACGAATGCAATTTCGTTGTCTAGTACTTATACAGAATGAATTGCATGTCTGCTTACTGAAAGTCTGCTTCGACAGGCCTCCCCAACTACCAGACTAGGCACCGAATGATCCAGAATTCACCGGTAGATCAGACCACACTACCCGTTTTCAAGGTGTGTATCAGATCGTATTACACAGTATCATACCCTGAACAAATTTTGAGTGGTGATGCAATGCTTTTCAACCCCGCTGAGAATCGTCACTATCACATCGCGTACTAGGCAAGAGCGGTGTCGCGTCTGATACTGTGTAATGCGATCTGACCTTATTGGGCTGAAATACTTGCCTGGGGACACTGAACTTCTGCCAAATGTTAGGCCCCAACACCAAATTTCAAGGGATTTATGCCCAATTTTCGATCTTTTCAGCTTTCGAACAGGCCTACCTAACTACCAGACTCGGCACCGAATGATCCAGAAGGTCTGTTAACCTTCACCTTGCTGCACTTGGTTGGTGCTTAGAAAAAAACTGGCACTTAACTGTAATAC